TAGATTGTGTTTCTCGAGAGAACGATTTTTTAGAAAGAGAAAGAGAGATTAGGTATTTTTAGAGAATGAGATATTGGGTTTCTAGAGAGAGCATGAGTTTTAAGAGAGAGAGAGAGAGATTGGCGTTCTAGAGAGAAAATGGGTTTTTGAAACAATAAGAGAGATTGAGATCTTCGAGAGAGTGATTCGCTTTCTAAAGAGAGAATAACGTTTTAGAGAAAGAAAGAATGGGTTGTTAGAGAGAATGGGTTTCTAGAGAGTTGGGTTGTTAGAGAGAATGGATTTCTAGAGAGATTGGATATCTAGAGAGAGATTGAGGTTTTAGAGAGAGAAAGATAGATCGAGTTTCTAGAGAGAGAATGGGTTTTAGAGAGAGATTGAGTTTTTAGAGAGAGAATAGATTTTTAGAGAGAGATTGGGTTTCTAAAGCGAGAATAAATTTTTAAAGATATTGGGTTTTTAGAGAGAGAATAGGTTTTTAGGGAGATATTGAGTTTCTAGAGAGAAATTGGATTTTAAAGAGAGAAAGAGATATTGGGTTTCTAGATAGATAAATTGGGTTTTTAGAGAGGGAATGAGATATTGGGTTTTTAAAGAGAGAGAGAGAATGAGTTTTTAGAAAGAGAAAGAAAGATTGGGTTTCTAGAGAGAATGAATTTTTAGAGATAGAAAGAGATTGTATTTTAGAGAGAGATATTGGATTTCTAAAGAGAGAATTGGGCTTTCAGAGAAAAATAGATAATGGGTTTTAAAGAGAGAAGAATGAATTTTAGAGAGAATGGATTTTTAGACAGAGAGAGATAATTTCATAGAGAAAAGAGAGATTGGGTTGCTAGAGAGAGAATGTGTTGTTAGAGAGAAAAAGAAGAATTGGGTTGAGAGAGAGGGAATGTGTTTTTAGAGAGAAAAAGAGAGATTGTGTTTTAAATTTAGCATGTCTATTTTTTTTTTTGGCTTACTACTACAAACAAGAAAATTTTGAAAAGTGAAGATTTTTTTAATTTTAATTTTTTTAAAAAAGACATGTTTAATAGGCTACGCTGAGACATTTTCGGGCTTACCAGACCAGCCCTTCTCGCTAGCGGCCCATTAGAGACCCGGAAACAGGCCAGGCCTGGTCCATTAACAACCCTAGTTGAAACCAGTAGGTTGGATCCGGATTTGGCTAGGATCTAACTAGGTCGCGACCGGAGTGTATCCTGCAGTTTGGGTCTATATCAAGCTCAGACCCATCCTGGCCTGATTGAAATTAACCTAACTCATGTTTCCATATGCGACCCAGACCAGACCTAGCCGGGATTGGACTCGATACAATGCCGAACTATATGCAACCTGGGGCCAATACACTCAACACATGAGTAGTAGGACAACATCATCCAGCTGGTGAAAGGCAGCATTGGCAGGGTGTTCCAAAAATGGATTCCCCCAAGCTGTTACAGCCTCCGGTCACCATAGAAAATTCAGAACTCTGTCATCACCATCTCTTTCTCTCTCTCTTTCGGCCGGAAAGACTTTTGAAAAGAGATTTGGTGCAATTAGAAAACTTGAAAGACCTAGGTCTTGCTGCATTAAAACCCTGAAAAGCAAGGGTTTCGGGGTCGCAAGAAAATGTGTTTTTGGACCCAACTGTAATCAAAGAAAATGTTTTTTTGGACCCAACTGTAGTCGCGCATAAAACTATTAGTGTTGTCAACTTTTTTGTGCTAAAATACTTTCCTTCTCCCTTTCTCCAGCGGTGTATAGCAAACGGTGTTGGAAGCACATGCTTCCCACTTGAAAAGAGTATAGCGCAGAATAAAATGTCGAGAACTTGCATACAGTGAAAAATTGCATGGGAATATTGAGATGTGTAGTGACTTGACCTGTCCCCATTAACTTATAAGGGGTGTGAATGGATATGAGAGAGAGACAATTTAAAAAACCGCCGATTCGATCTGGAATCGGACGATCTCCAAATCTAGTATCGGTAAAATCGGGCGGTTTTGACTTTTTATTTTTTAAATCCGACATTCTTTTTGCACGCCTAGCTTTTTTGAAGTGTGATTACTTACCCGATAGAGCCTATCCCGCTAGAGCCGATACCGAAAGAGAGAAGGGAACCGCTTACCCTGGAAAGAGGGTTTCATCTACTATCAGCTTGCCGATACCAAAAGTGAGAAGGGAACGGCTTACCTTGGAAAGAGGGTTTCATCTACTATTCGCTTGTCTGGAAGAAAAGATTTCATGTCCATAGTTGCCTTCCTACTGCCAACTTCAAAGAGCTTGGTTTTCAACTGCTCACCGTAACTTCACTAAAGGTTTAGTTGATGACCAAATGATTGGATTTATAATAAAATAACCATCCAATTTTTCTTTCGTTTCACCACCTATTTTAAATTATAAGTATTCTTATAAGTATTCTTAATCTCTTCTGCCTTATTCCTTTTTCTGTGGGTAACCTGTGAAACATTTCGAATTGAATTGATCGATCCAAATTCTTCCGTCTCGAAATCTGAATATGAATACTAAAAACTAAACTACCTATTTTAAATTATAAGTATTCTTAATCTCTTCTGCCTTCTCCCTTTTTCTGCAGGTAACCGGTGAAACATTTCGAAATAATTGAATTGATCGATCCAAATTCTTCTGTCCCGAAATCTGAATATGAATACTAAAACTAAACTACCTATTTTAAATTATAAGTATTCTTAATCTCTTCTGCCTTATTCCTTTTTTTGTGGGTAACCGATAAAACATTTCAATTATTAAATTATAAGTATTATTAATCTCTTTTGCCTTATTCCTTTTTTTGTGGATAACCGGTGAAACATTTCGAAATAATTGAATTGATCGATCCAAATTCTTCCGTCCCGAAATATGAATATGAATACTAAAACTAAATCTGAATATGAATATGAATACTGAAACTAAACAATGTATCTTCAACTTAAAACCTGCACATGCAAGTGACGACCAATATAAACCTTCAGTGTGCAATATGCTTCACGTGGCCAAGATAACATCCAATTTAGCAAGATCGTTGGGTTTTTTTATAGCATTTTTGTTTTTCACATCGCTTCGATATGGGACATATCTGTGAGTTGAAAAAAAAGCTAGCAAATATTATTAGCTTGGGATAAATTGCAGTGAGATAATATACGCACGATGGTGTACGTGTGACGGTGTATGCCCATCATGAATAAAAAAGTTGTATGTCCGATTGTGGCAATTAAATTTGATGATTAAAAAAGAAAGAAAATGATTAAAAAAATAATTAGGTGCCCATCACCCTTATCTTTCATCAAAAAAATTTAAATTTACTTACTAAAAAACATAAAAACTCTATTAAGCTATTATATCATGGGATTATTTCATTATATGAGTAATAATTAATTAATTAGTTAATTAGGATTAAAAAATTAGTACTAGCTCATAAGATAATAATAATAATAATACCATTTCTAGCCTATTGGATATTAAAAAAAAAAAGTTCAGAGGATATTTTAAGAGAGAAAAAATAACACTAACTCGTACCACTTTAGAATTTATTTCAAATTACTTTATCAATTATCACACATTGCAAATAAATTTTTTTTAATTTATTAATAACCAAATCTTTTATATTATTTATTAATTTATTTATATTATAAATTTTATAATATATATATATATATATATATTTTTTATAATTGTATATAAGATTTTTTAAATTAGATGATATATAAGACATTTTATATTTTTATTTGTATAGTAAAATAATTATAAAATATAAAGTTATAAACTAACAACCTCAATTTCCATATCTATTATTATAGTTAGTTAAGTTGTAATAATTTAGGATAAGTAAAACAAATTAATAAATGTTTGATACTTTGATGTGATACTAATTTATGTGGGAAATTAATTTTTTAATCTTCTAATATAGAAGTGTTTGTAACTAGTTACCTCACATTGCAAGCATGAATTTATTTATTTACTTTTTAATTGTATTAAAATATTATTCTAAATTTATATTTCTACATTCTATATTTCTATCCAAACTAATTGTTATATATTAGATTTATTTATTTGTAAGGGTCGTACTCTTGTTTTTTGAATCACGATTATTATAATATTGTAATTAATAATTATACTAATTACAATGATAACTACGTCTTATATTTTATTTATTTTAATTATACATACATGCAGATAGAAAAACAGCATCCCAATAATCACCTATTTTTACAAAGTAATGAAAATACATAATGCACCACTTCTAAATTCTTTTACAAATTAAAATAACATTATTTTTAAAGATTTATAATGATTTTTGAAAGATTTTTTGAGACAAAAATTGCCGATTCCTGATCCAAAACGCCAATTCACCGATCCAGATGAGTTTTTGGGATGCCTGATCCAAGCCACCGATCCGTTTTTTAAACTACTAGCTTGTAGTAATCCTTGTCAAGAGGAAAAGAGAATGGTTTATAATAGTGTTTCAAAACCCGGAGCAATGATTCATATGGCAGAGATTAGGGAAGACACAAGAAAGCACTAGATCACCATGATCATCCGAACTTTATCCCAACTAATTGAGGTCGGTTGCACGAATTATGTTCCCTTATTTCATTTTATTAAGGGTCACACCTTCAATTAAACCATAAGGAAACATGAAAAGTAAAAAGATGAAGGGGGTTTTAGGGGTAAACCAGCCAGGACCACCAGGCCAAGACTGATACCTTCTTGGAACGAGTTCGGTCTTGGACGATTCCCAATCTAGAATAGCAATTCTGGATCTGAATTGCCTAGTTTTAGAACACTGGGTTGTAGGCAATCATTGTAGCAGGAAATATACATGTTCAGAATCACTACGTGATAATTTCCAGACCAGTTTGGAAGCACTAGTTTTAGACAGAAACCACAAGATCTTTGGACTTTGGACTGGCTTTTGTGGCCCCGAGTTTGAACAGCAGGAATCACAGTATGCTTCATGGAGAATAACATAGATTAGACCCAGATAAGGAGCATAAGACCAAATATTAATAACCAAAATACATAAAAACGTGATTCAAGATCTACTAGCACAAAGGCCAACAAAGCAAAGTAGTACAAGAGAAGTTCCAAAACAATAATATCTCATTCACTCAATAATATTGCTTGATGATAGGTTGCAGTTGGGTTTACAAGGAACAGTTACAGCATGGACTTGGGTTTCATCAAGAACAGGGGCCCCAGACAGCAACGAATATAGTTGTCATTATATAAGTAGCCTGACACCTAACCATGCCTAGAAAAGAAACCTGACTTCATTAATGGAGCAACTTTTACATCTCCATGCTTACAATGGACCTATGGGAATCCATGAGATGCTTTAATACCTATTGTTCACAAAACCACAGAAAACTGTAAATCTTACAAGGAGATCTAATGAATGGCTCTGAATCATGTTCACATTATCTGCCAACAATCTTATATAACAATAACATGGGGACCAATTCAGAAGATACAACAAAAAGACACCATTGACTTGATAATTATAGTTTGACCTCACCCACCAGCAAATCATCATAAACAAAATGACAACTCACCAATGGCTCCTTCACAAAATGGCAACGCATCATAAACATTGTAGACCAAGCAAAATCTATGGAGAAAGCAGAGATAGAACTGGTAAGATAAACAAGTGAAAAGAAATTAGAATACCTGCTGAGAATAATAAACCACAAACCGACTGAATGGTTGACTACTTGACGACCTCCATATCAATCTCCAATAATTTACGTGTATTTCCCATCAACTGAAAGGTTGGAAAAGCTCTTTTGGTTCATCATAAAACCACCTGAAATTGTTTACAAATATAAAATAATAAGGCATTAATAAACAAATTAGTGAAGATCTGACAAATTCTCTGAAATTTCACCTTCCTCCCCTTAGGATGGCAAAAATAGCCTCAAAATGGGACATCAAAAGGCACGATGATCAGCAAAAGGTAATGGAGAGCCAGAAAGGCTTGCTCAGAATTTGTGAAAAGTAATGATACAGACCAGATGTGTGTGCATGCATGTGTGAAACGCTTCCATGGGCAGAAAGCCACATCTATTCTTTCTTAATCCCTTTCTCTTGCAGGCATATGCATGAGTTAAACACACGATATAATTCCAATCCTTCAGTAAACAACTGAACCCTGTTTATGGAAACAACATCCTCAAAATGGAAAAATCACAGTCACCTCCAATCTCTACAGTAAGGTCAAAGCTTGGGCATCTAAATCCATGAAAGCAACATCAACATTATGTAACCCACACTTTAATTAGTTTCATCTATGAGTATGGTGTTCTTCAACAAGAAACACCAACACAGCTATTAACCCTCACTCCCCAACAGAAAAGTTCAATTTTAAAAAACCCTCACTCCCCAACAGAAAAGTTCAATTTTAAAAAAGATGAGAATATGAAAATCATTTTGAAACCACACACCTATGCTCATCTTCAATTTGTGTAGAATAAAAAAGGGCCATAACCCGGTGCTCATCCTGCCTACGCAGGGTCCCGGGAGGGGTGGGCTGGAAACGGTCCTAACCTTTGGCCTATGCACGAAGTGGCTGCTCTCAGGACTCGAACCTGCGCTCTTGTGCAGGATGCCCAAGCCTTTTACCGTCACACCAAGTGACGGCCCTTAATTTTTGTAGAATGCAAAGTATATTCTCTTTAGTCAAAACAATGGTTTAGTCAAAAAGAACAATGTCAGCTGTAGATGCCTCGGCTAAAGCAGGTGCATCAGCCCAAATTTTAGTCATATATCCAACCCACACTTGACTATGCAGTTCTGGTTTTGGTTTGGGTTGTAACAATGTAAAGTGTAGTGGTCCTTCATTGTACTGAAACAGATACATGTAATCTGTACAATTTTTTTTTAAAAACTTTAATACACTACAGTCTATTTTCGCCCAAAAAAAGAGGAATAGAACAATGCAATAAATTGGTTGACATCTGGTTTTAGATTTCTATGTACAAAACAACTTCGATAAATGTAGCAGTGCTTTGCAACCCAAAGTGTAAAAAGAAAAGCAATTGATGTTGTTCAAATGACAATGGTCATATAGATACACACTCTTTTTAAATTTTAACCCATTACATGAAAAACCACATTTAAAGGATTCTTAAGGAACATAAAAGGCTCCATCTCAGCTGTACTTATTTTCAACCAGCACCATCAGTTGGTTTGATTTTGTTAGGGAACAAATAATTGTTTTCCAACATGCCCTACTTGCAGACATTTTATGGAATAAGAAGTCCTAAAAAGGATATTCAAATGCACTCATCACCTATTCACTTGTACTTCCAACCATGAGAATCCGTTTTCCATGACCCCATTTATCTCTCAAGTAGTGGTTAACAAGAAAATTAAAAAAAGTAAGCCTACCAATCAAGGAATTAATTTTTTTATGCAATTGAATAAATAAACATGACCGAAATTGTGTACTACAAACTTCAGATACAGAATATTTGAACACCTACAACTTCGAGGAACACACTTTTCTTCAAATAGGTATTACAACACTTTATTGAAGTGAATTAAAAGACAGTGATGCACATGCTTAACAGAGAATGGGACATAGAAAAAGGGATAGAGAAGAACGTACTTGCAAATAAAAATTGGACCCAATTCTGGATTTTCCTCATCTGCTAAACATGATCTTCTTTCAATTTCTTTCTTATACTTTTCTACTGACAGAACACTGCATGGGCCCAAAATGGTGCCAACCAACTTGTTTGCTCCATAATTAGACTCATAAACCTGAAAACCACAATAAGCAAAACTTAAATATGAAATATTTCTACTAAGAAACAATTTATCTCCGATAGACTATTTATATAAATGAATCTTGCAATGAATTCTGTCTGAACATAAACTATTTCGTGGGACTTCAAAAGATCAAGAAGTGGAAATGGCACAAACAGAGGTCGGAGAACATATAGTTTCTTGGGTCTCTTCTCATTACCACGGTGTAGTAAGGTTGAAACCTAAATGGAACAGAATCTGACAGTCTGGGGAGACGTTATAAAAAAAGAACATAATGGTTTCTTATTGCCTCCACTGGAATACCAATAAGTTGCATAAATGCAAGTCATGAAAAATGATTTCATTGTTTCTAATCAGTGAAAACATAACTGATATAAAAGTGAATATATAACTTTTCTCCCAAAGCTAGTTAATAGGAATTGGAGTTCATCTTTTTTACATTAAAACTAAATATCTATTGATCTTTTTTCATTTTTAGAGAATAACTAAATATGTATTGTTCTTATAACCAGCTTACCAATCATAAATGAATGGACACAGTCCCTTCTGCTTAGATGAAATAGAACAACATCCCTACTAAATCTGGTAAAAGGCATTGTTTGACACCATTTAGATGGCACATGCACTGATGTTGTATAAGATGTCATAATGAAAGTAAAAATGGGCAAGCAACATCCTATATATATCATAAAAGCGGTCAAATTATCAAACCCTAAACTTCGAAAACAGCCCAATACTTTTAGACAGTTTAGTACAAAAGCCTATTGCTACATTTCAGTGCACATATTGAGCAATAGGCATACTATGCCATTAAATAAATCGGGGAATTGATTACACACTGTAATACTGTGCTATACTTTTAAGATCCTCAAATAAAAATAAAGAAAAACTAAAAATCATGTATGGACTTCCCCAAGCATCTCCAATTTAAAAGAGGGAGCCAGTTAGAGCATCATTTGGCTAAATCACATAAAACAGAGACAATGCAATTATCAATATGGAAGGGATATAAATAGCTAAATTATCAAACGAGAAATAGATAGCAATCATGTGGGCTTCTAAAGTTTAACTTCTTGTCGACACCAGTTTGCATGAGGAGTTCAAGAATTGAATGTTTCTTCCCATCAAACAAAACAGAATACCCATCAGAAAAAGATAACCAAGGCCACAAACCTCATCCGTCCCAGGGGTGGCAGGTCGTCCAACAAGCTGTGATAGGTCATCTGGATAATAGCACCAATTCACATGAGCCCACTTAGCTCCAGTTCTATTGTCCTCCCAGAGGGTCTGATACAGAAAAAGTACCACAGAAAAAGTACCAATTTAAGCTCCATATATAATATACATTTCCACTAAGAGTACAAAAAAGAATCCCAAGAAGTCCATAGAGATGCTCAAAATAATGCAAGTACAAAAATGGCAAAAGAAATAAAATTATATGAAAGTGATTTTGTTAATTGTAAAAAAATATATGAAATGCATACATGTAAATATTAATTACAATTTTCCTTGTCTCATTTTCCTTTTCTTTATTGGAAAGATGATGATGGAGATGGTTCACTATTGTAACCCATTCAACTAAATAAAACTTACGGCAGGCATATTTGACTTACTACAGCTATTGATCTATTTCACTAAAAAAAAAGAATGACAAAGAATCAATCTATGCGACTAACCTGTATCTTGGCAACGTACGAAGGAAAATTCGGATAGTCAGGATGAAATAAAGCATAGTCTTGGAGCTTGTAAATCACACCGTTTATACAGCAAGACTGATAGTATGTCCTCCCTTCTGCAACTTTTACTTTTTCACCAACCCAATCTACAGGATGTAATTCCTGCTCCGGAGGCCAACTGTAATCTGTTGTTTCATCTGCATCAGGATCTGAAGACCTCTCAGATGTCATTTGTGAAGAAGACTCTTGACCATCTTGAAAACTACCACTCCTGAAATCTGAATTAGGAGCATCTACTCTTCCCGATGGTTCACTCGAATCAGTCAATGCCTGATCTGCCATGCTCTGACACCTGTCTCCAACAGCTTCATCTAACATGGGTGACTCAGATTTACCAGCATCTTGCGAATTAATTGATCCTTGAGATTGCCTCATAGATTGGAGATTGGTTCCAGATTGTCCTGAATTGGAGAGTCCAAATCCAGCTTTAACAGTGGATGGACATTCTGGAGTGGAATACTCCATCTGGTCCGGAGATACTTCATTTTTTCTCTGATCACCAACGGTTTCAGCAGGTTTTCCACACAAATCCTTTACAGCTTGATTCAAAGAATCAACACATTCCTTCTGATTATCTGGGTCTTTATTTTCCATGGTCACTCCAGGGAAATTTGCACCTGAAGACTGTTTTGTATCTATGATCCCTGCATCCGGATGTTTATTTGGGTAACCCTTTGGTAAAGAAGGATTGGGAACAGGTTGCACTGAATCAGACAACCCACTAGCAATAGTTTTTGGCTGATTACGTTTAGAGTTAGGGTATCCTGTGTTCCTTTCCTGTGATGATTCAACTCTACTACTATTTAAAGCTTCTTTCTGTGTAGTACTACTTTTACCAACACGGCCATACTTGGGAGGGAATGGTTTTCCATTGCTTAAATGCAGGCACTTGGGACAATGCCAGTCACCTTTAATAACTATCTTTTGATTATATAATTGATTTTGGAAGCATTTCACATCCACTCCAGCCTCACAAGAATCACAAACAAGTACACTTTCCACATTTTTTGTTTCACTTTTACAAAGTTGGCAAGATATAGGAGCATTCATATATGCTGTAGAAGGTAAAGCCTGATTCTTATGATTTAAAGTCCTTGTCTGGAGAACAGCAAGAACATTTTTAGCAATGTTGTCATGGTCTGGAAAGGTGCCAGAATGTTCTGTTGGCTTGTAACCTCGAAGTTGTTCATGCACCGTGCGGAGGTCGCCTGAATCAAGTTGTGCAGGAGGTTTAGTCTTATCATGCTGGAGTTTTTGGGTTCCTATGCCCGTTACAGCACCATAATCAGGAGGCACATTTTCTAGCAATGCAGATAAACTTTGGGTTTTCTCCTGTGAGGAATCATGAGTGTGTGGAGCTGCAAAAGAGAAACAATTTCAGCATATCCATAGAGACATAAAAGACCAATGTTATAGTTTTAAATACAAAAGAAGAAAGTAAATAAATTGATAAATTGAAGTAGATAGACAACCTAAAAAGAAAATCAGTCAGGCTTGCAACTCCACAAAGTCCCAGTTTGCACGGTCCGGGATTTCTTTTAATGAATAGTGATGCAAATCAGTCATTGATCTGTCCCTTTGTCTTTTCTTTATTTCTCGAGTCGTTTTATTTACTTAGGGGTAGAGATAGTAATTTTTAGAGTCTTTCATGTCCTTTTATTTACTTAAAAGTCTTTTATAATAAATGGCCATGATTAGATTAGATGGATGAGCAAGATTAATTTTGTTTAGGGTTTTCTTACATAAAGGAAGTATTAAGTGACCAACATAAAAGCATTTTGTTTTGTATTTGCTCAAAACCCTGGAGCAGCAAGTGCTATTTCTTTTATCTCTGGTTTTTGCACCTTTCTCTACTTTTGGATCTTCCCTATCTTATTCTTTGTTAAACCCTAGCTCCAAGCTACTAGGTTTGCGCCAGGTTGATATGAGAGCCTGACGATCAATAAGGATGGTACTGTAGCACGGTAATATAGCATAGTGTGTAGCATTGATTTTTATGCCCTAAATCAACAACCATGCCTCCACGGAGAGGAAAGGAGGAAAAGCAGGCAACCATAGATGCCTGTGATACTAGTTCGCGAAAAGGGATTGCATATCTAAGGAGATTGGTTGAAACCTTAGCTCTGTGTTTGGCACAGATGGAAGCCCCATTTCAAGATGATGAGATCAAGGTTGATGAGGAATCCATAAATCCCTTCCATGATTAAGTTCTAAGAACAGGGGTAGCTGATCGTATTGATAGGGATAGTAGGCGGTGGGAAACAGGTCTCAAGGTTGAGATAGTGTTATGGAAATCTATCCAAGGAGAACTATGGATAAACTTTGTTCCCATCAAATGATTCTCAAGATCAGCACGTTGTGGACTGGGACTCACTGCTAGTCTTTCACAAGTACCTAGATGAAGATTTGGATGCTGAGAAGAAATAGATGATAATAGCTATAATAGTGATCCAATTCATAATCAAGAAGAAGATCCTACCCTTGGAGAGGATTTTGTGGATGCTCATTTTCTTGATGAGGAATAGGGTGGATGTCAAGGAGTTGTTCCTAAAGTATTGGAGGTAACTGGTTCCTTAGTCCTTAGAGAGAGTAGCGAGGAGAATGGTGTTGACGGAAGTAATGATGATGATGTTGTTCTCCTTCGAGTTTTACTTAAATTTACGGTATCAAGTAAGGTTCGCACCAAAGAGTTCAAGGTATTTTCCCTTGAGCTCTTAACTAGTGCATTTAATATAGTTGAAGTCAATCTTTGTGAAGGAAATCAGGCTGAGTCATCACTTTGCTTTGATGGAAGAACTAAATCCAAGGTTTCAAAAAACGCTAGGCGGCCTGCCTGGCACCCAACGCCTAGGTGGGCACCCAGAACCTCGGGTGCCCTGTAATTTAAAAAAAAAGAAAAAACGCCTAGCCTGCCTGGGCGCCCGCCTAGGTCTAAGCGAGCAGATTTTTGGTCCAAGCCGCCTAGGTCTAGGAGGGCCGATTTTTGGTCCAGGCCGCCTAAGGGGGGGCCTAGGCTCTAGGGGGACCGTTTTTTAAAACATTGACCAAATCTATTCCTTATCGTGTTCCCCAAAACCTAAACCTAAGGAGCCTAATATTTGCATCTCGACTTCACCAAATTCAGCAAGCATGAGCCTCAGAGTTCAAACTTTTTCTTGCATCCTAAAAGAAGAGTTTTCTTCAGGTATGTTTATGATTGATAGTGTTGCACACTTGCATTGCAGCAGTGTTAGTTTTCAATTTGCACAAAATGTGATGGATGAGATGTAAATGAGAGGCACCATAACCTGCAAAACATTGATATCTAGTTATTTTAAATTGTATATCTTTAAGATTAAATTACAATGTTACCAAAAGATGAAAAATTCTAGGTTTTGGTCTTGTCAATATACCCTGCTGGAATTCTTATATCAAAATGGTATAGTGGACGACTGGAGAGTATGGAAGCAGTTAAGCAGGCCTATGCTAAAGCTATGAAACGTGAGATTGGCTGTAAACTTTGCATTGGCATGCTCTTAAATCATGAATGGGTGCAGGAAAGAACAAAATTATTTGTTAATATGTGGTTCACCCAAGCTGAGCCTATTTTTCTAAACAAAAAAAACTCAAGCACAAACAAAAGAGGCATGAAAAACCAGATTATAGAGCAAGATGCTGGGACAACTCCACAGGTTTACTCATTAGCCAAGCTGAGCATCCTTTAAGCTACATTCTAGAAATTTTGGATGATCCTGTCATGTCTTTCCAAACAAAAATGACTAAGACCCTCCCCCAATTGTCAAGGAGCCAAGGATACTTGGGAAAATGAGCCAGCATAAGTTTCAGAAGGTTATGATAAATCATTTGCACTGAACCAATGATAGGGTAACATGGTGAGCTTAATGATTACAAAAAGTATATGAATTGATGTTTTCATTGGTGAATCATGTATAATTGTTATTTGTAGAATACTGCTTGCTTTGAGTAGGGCTGAGAATTTACCCTGTTTGGGTCCAAAACCCGAATTTTAGACCCTATCCAGATCCTGATATCGATCCAAGATTTGGATCCAACGGGTCGGATCTAGATCCAAATAGTAATTCGGATCGAATCCGGGTATATGTGGATCCGATTTGGATCCGACCCCAGTTATTAAAATATTATATATTATTTATATATATACATGTATGTTATATAGTATTTTTTTTGTTATATATTATTTTATAGATATAAAATGATATATAAAATATTTTTTTGGATCCGATTGGGTCCGGATCCGAATGCCATGTATACTTTTTGGATCCAAATCCAGATCCCCGTGGATCCGGACCAGATCCGACCCATTCTCAACCCCAGCTTTGAGTAGTTTGGATGTTTTTCTGGAAAATCACACTCTTGTCATGATTCTTTTAGGATCTATATAGGGCAACAGTGACTTCTTAATAAATGCATGAATAATGTATGAATAAATATGTCTGTATCAATTGCCAATAACATAACTGCCGAATTCTACAAAACCAATTGCCCACCATGACCAATAGCTGCTTAGTTTCGAGTTCAGAGACATACTTGTTAAAACATACTCGTTAAAATATAAATCTAAGGCACGCAACCAACATCTCATAAGTATGGGTGTAAATTTTAAGTTGAAAAAAATTGCATAAAGAGAATAACCACTATTACATAGGTCCATGCTTTGACTCGACAAACATATCTATCAAATAAAGCTAAGATATACAGTATTTCGGCATCGAAAAGAAGCGATCACCTTGGTTTGCAGCAATTATGGCAGGTTCCTCATCTGGAACTTGTGGTGAAGATGGTGGTCTTTGAGCTGCTTGCTTTCGATTATCCTCTATCTAAAGTAAAATCCAACAAGAAATAACATCAATTACTAGGAACACTTTCAAAACATAAACTACAACCACAGTAATCAAATTCCTCAAGGAATATGTGGAACGATCAGAAAAACAATCAATAGCATTCAAATGGGAAAATAAACGATAAAAGAGAAAAAAGATAATTAGCCACAAGGAAGTCATATAAGGTTTCAAACTTCAAAGTGATTGCTAAATTATTTACACGATGATATATTTAAGGACATGGTTTCTTTGAGTCCATGTAGAAATGAGCCACCTCTTAAAAATCTATTTCTAAGATGGATTTTTGGACTTAATTTTTAAGGACATGTAATCTCTAACATGGAGATCATGAATATGAAAAAATAAATAATTTTTGAAAATTAGAAATAATAATTCTATTAAAAAAACGTTTGGATTGTTAGTTTCAATTGTTTTTAGATGGGCCACCTATTTGTAGGGTTCTCGGGAAACCCTCGCTTGCGGATCCGGGAATCCCAAATACCAGGATCCCACTCAAGATCTTGTACATGATTGGCTAAATGTGAAGTAGATGAATACAACTATAAATCGACTGTAAAAAATAAAGTAAACATAAAAAGTCACACCACAATAACACACAATTTACGTGGTTCACCATAGGGCTACATCCACGGCCTCGGCAAGTTGAAATCCACTATCACAATGAATATTACAATTTAAGGTTACAAGAGATAATACCTATCTCTAAACATCGGTAAAAGACCATCACCAATCTTTCTTTCTAAACTCACATTCCAGACAGAGCAACACCGTCGATCAATATCTTCTTTCCCACTGCAATACCGCTATCGAAAAGATAACCTCGAGAGCAACGGAGAAACTTTCTCTCTCTAGAAGTAAAAGTTAACCAACCCAAAACTCATAAGAATTTCGCCTCTCTCTCAAAGGCCATGTCTCTCTCTCTTGGAGACCCATCTCTATATTAAAAACCCATTCCCATAACCCCCGAAGGGGTTACCCTCAAATGATGGTATTATGTCTCTTTTGTAGAGATCACCTCGAGCTTCTTTCTTGGTCCCCAATAAACCCCTTCTCTTTTTATCATAATACCCTTTATCTTTTAATGAAAACATAAGTATGATGATTTTTCCTTTCACCAAACCTAACACTATTTACATATATCTTGGGACCGTATATTGTAAAAATGTCATCTAGCCCGCATGAAACAATTTTCCTATATTCAATGACATACCTCACCTTCATGTCCATTCTAATTGATTACCGATAAGGAATAAGAAGGCTTGACCAAAATTTCCTCAATAAATTAATCATGGAAAACAGATTCACAACATGCAAGTAATATAACATAAAACACAATAATGGACCCACAAATCAAAATCTATCCATCCAATTAAACTAGATGAGATGACTGTGAAGAAGCATTATAACCACCTCTTTTCCTGATAGTAAAAGTACAGTACCACAAAATATAATAATATACACAAATCAAAATTGAATCATCCAACTAAAATAGATAAGATATCAAAAGGTAAACAATACATTCCTCTCAGCACATCAAGCAACCCAACTAGAACACCAAGACAACAAAGCACAAATGGAACAAAACTACCATCAAATGTAAGACCTAAACTACCAAAAAAAAACCAATTGCGCAATAAATCACAAGGAAAATTAAAAACCACCAAATGTCACCATAACAAATCGCATTAAAACCTACCTTCTTCATCGAATTTAAAAACTTCTCTGCAATCGAAAGCGAGCCCATAGCTCTCGCATCTCTCCCCCTATCAGCACCCAACCCTAAATCTCTCACCAAGTTTCCAACAAATTCCCTGCTCACCAAATCCTTAGGAGAGAGGATTTCGCAGAGAGAAACAAGATTCTCTCTCGCCTCTTCCATCAATCGTTCCTCAGCTGAGGAGGGGCAATGCCCACCTCTCATCTGGGCCATTGACGCCAGGACAAGGATGATCTCCGCCGTTCGTTTGATCGAGGACTCTTGAGAGGGCTTTGATCGCTTGGGAGGTGGCTCTAATTCTTCCTGATCGCCATTGATGGGGGCTTCAAGCTCCGCTTCATGCATTTTCAGGGCGGGAAAAATGAAAAATATGAAAAAAAAATCAAAGATTAATCGAGGAATTTATGATTTGTGTGGTCGTGGTAACACGTGCGGGAGAGAAAGGGCGGTTTGAATTAGGGTTTGGGCATGGATTGCAGGGATTTTGGGGTTGCCCTTTTCGAGCCTGAGTTTTTAGTTACGAGGAGAAGAGGAGATTATCCCTGTCTTTTCAGGTAAGGACAATATCATCCTAGGCATTACAAAAGACGAAAATGCCCATGCGAGGAATGCCCTCCACTTAGAATAATTTTCTCCTGTCTATTAGTTATTTTTGCTAAAAGATTTTGTACTCGTGCTAGAGTATTTACTCCCCCGTGTAAAAGTGGAATAATTTTAAATCACTAGAGGCATGTTTGGTTGGTGAGTAAATATTTTCTTAGAAAAAATATTTATATATGTAAACATTTTACGAGAAAAACTTTTGCAAACTTTCCCTTTACCATGTTTGTTAATTCATTGCACATGTTTGGTAACTTATTTAGTATTTAAATATATTTTATATATATTAAAGAAAAAATTACGTATATATCTGTTAAAGTTTTCGTTATTACCAAAATGCCAAATAGTTTCGGTTATACTGTAATGTCCGTTTTTCCACTTCATAACGAAAATTTTAAAAAAGACTTTTTTACCCTTTTTCGGTTTTTGAACAACCGAAAAAGACAAGCTTGGAATTTGCATTTTTATTTTCGGTTGTTGAACAAGCAAAAATAGGACTGCATATTCTAGAAGCTTGCTGGAATATCTAGTCCTATTTTCGGTTGTCCAACATCCAAAAATGTCATGTTTTCGGTTGGGTTGTTCAATATGACTACGTATTCCAAAAGCTTGCTGGAACATTTTCGGTTGTTCAACATCCGAAAATGTTTTATTTTCGGTTGTTCAACATCCAAAAATGTTTTATTTTCGGTTGTTCAACATCCGAAAATGTTTTATTTTCGGTTGTTCAACATCTGAAAATGTCATATTTCGGTTGTTCAACAACCAAAAATAAGACAGAAGCTTGGAATTTGCATTTTTATTTTTGGTTTTTCAACAACTGGAAATGTTATATTTTCGGTTGTTCAATAACCAAAATTAGCTTATTTTCAGTTTTGAACAATTGAAAATCCAACCATTTCGTTTGTTCAAAAATTGAAAAAGAGTAAAAACATTTTTTTAAAAATGTTTTTTGTCATGAAGTGAAAAAACGGACATTTCAGTAATAACGGAAACTATAACGGATACATACTTAATTTTTCCTATATTAAATCTATACATCCAATATTTAAATATTATTAAAATGTTATATTAAATATTATTTTTTTGATATATATTTTTATTATATTATAGCAATCTGATATATTATATTATACTAATAATATTAATATTATGTATTATATTATAGTATTAATATATATTATCTAATGTTATATACTATTGTATAATATAAAATAATATATTATGTAAAATATTATTTGTATATATATATATATATATATATATATATATATATAATAAGAGAGAGAAGAAAAGACGTAGGTACGACCACTAGCTCATATACGAACTATAGTAGACGACCCAACACCGCCCGACGTAGTTAGTAACTACGTTACGGAC